ATCATTAAAAACAAACGGTTTTTGAACATTCATGTCACGCGGGGCTTCGCGGGCAACTTCTCGCGCGCACGCCGAACTCATTGGACAACTTCCTCGCGCGTGCCTGAGGCACAATCCCTGTCAACTAATACAATGCGGGGCACACGCGCGCGGCCGCGCGCATCGTCGTCGTCGTCGTCGTCGTCGTCGTCGTCGTCGTCGTCGTCGTCGTCGCCGTCGTCCTCGTCGTCGTCGTCGTCGTCGTCATCTTCCCCGTTGTCGTCGTCGTCGTCGTCGTCGTCGTCCCCCTCGTCGTCGTCGTCGTCGTCGTCATCTTCCCCGTTGTCGTCGTCGTCGTCGTCGTCGTCGTCGTCGTCGTCGTCCCCCTCGTCGTCGTCGTCGTCGTCGTCGTCGTCGTCGTAGCCGTCGTTGTAGTCGTCGTCGCCGTCGTCGTTGTCGTCGATGGGTAATCGCAGTCACGGCTTGAAGAGGTCTTGCGACCAAGTTGCGGGTGGGTGGGTGGGATGTTTGCACGAGCAGTGGAGTGGCCAACTCAATTAAGGGCAAGTCAACTTCACCGCATAGACTGCACCGCATATATTGCACAACAGGTATTGCACAACATATGTTGCACAACGTCTGTTGCTAGCAACACGCTCACGGGGTCCGCGCTGGCTAACAACCGTCGTACGCAGATAGGAGCGTAGGGGAGCCCCCCCGAGGCCATCTGAAAGCAACTCGGAGGTCCAGGGAACGTCTTGGAAGCTGGCTGGGCCACCTTACAACCCCCACGCGTGGCACTTGGGCAGTCCGAGGACGCTCCCATCATGGCTTATCCGATCCCAATCCCCGCTGGTATGGCCTCGACCCCACTGGCTGATTAATCCTCTTAGATAAGGATATAAGGATATACGCTGTTTTAGATTTGGGTTTCGTTGGGCCTATCCCCACCTGCGAGGGTGGGCTGGTGGGGCTGAGATAGCATAGCCCGGTGGGGACGGGGACAGGTTAGGCATTGCTGACCCGCGGATCTCTTTGTAGAACCCTTTTTATAGAATCCTCCTCAATTCGCAAATCCTCCCCAACTCCTTCTTCTTCCTTTGTGGAATCCCCCTCCAATTCCCAAATCCTCTCTAACTCCTGCTTTGTTCCTCTGTGGGTCCAGGCTCGTCTGCGGGCCGGGCCGGGCTGGGTTCGGCCCGCTCGAGGCCGGAGGTACTGATCGCCACATTGGGACGCGCTCCGCCAGGCACTGTAGGGGAGAGATAACGTCAGGCTCCAGCTTTGCCTGCAAAATCTCGCTGAGCAGCGCCAGCGCCCACTGCCACTGCCCGCATGTCTTGCACGCGCTGATCCCAGCGTTGTAGCTGATGACGGTGGGTTGCACCATCCCTGCCCGCATGTCGCTGAGCAGCGAGAGAGCCCGCTGCCACTGCTCGCCTTTCTCGCACGCGCTGATCCCAGCGCTGTAGCTGACCAGTGCGAACCCGTTGATTACATCTACGGCGTGCTGAACCTTGGACTCGCGCACCGTGGGTCGAATTGAACAGCTCGGGCGTCCCAGGGGCATGTTGGGCCCTCCTGCGAGCCTGTCTGGGGCGCCTTGAAGGCCTCTTGCGATTTCGGGGCGCCTCTGGGGCTGTTCCCTGGCTGTCCCCCAGAGCCTCTTCTGGGGGACAGCCCGGGAACCTTATTGTGCGTGCGTGCCGTGAGGATGCTGTATTTCCCTACCTAGGCTCTGCCTAGAAAGGTTCTTACCCTCTGTCATAAAGGGGCCGGGCAGTGGACATCGCCCCGGGCGGTTCCCCCGGCATCCGCCCCGCGGCTCCCCCAGTTACGTCCCCTTAGCTTAGCGTTGCTTATCTCATCTTAGCTTAGCTTATTTCATCTTAGCGTAGCTTAGCTTAGCTTCATCTTAGCTCAGGTTTATCCTAGCTTTTCGCCTTTTATGCCTTTATCTTAGCTCAGCTTATCTTAGCTCAGGCTTATCTTTATACCGCCCCAGGACGAAGCGAAAAATCTAGCTGTTCGCCCCAAGACGCTCCCAGGAGGCCCCAAGAGCTCCCCAAGAAGCCCCAAGAGGCCCCCAAGAGGCGTCCCAAGAGACCACCAGGAAACATACATTTTCGCCATACACGGCTTTTCGGTTTTCACAGCGTTGACGACGGTCCAAAACGCCCCCAAGACCGCCTCAAGACGGCCCAGGAGGCTCCCAAGACGCCCCCCAAAACGTTCCAAAAACGTCCCAAGACGGCCCAAGAGGCGCCCAAGATGCCAAGTCGTGCGGTAGTAGAGGGATACGGAGCATTCTCAAACACATCCGGTGAGCGAATGCGAAAACATGCGTGTGTGTGTGTGTGTCTGTACGCAGGCAAAGCCAACACAAAATCAAGCAAAAGCAACAACAACATCAAAGCAAAAGCAACAGCAAAAGCAAAAGCAAAGGCAAGACAATGCAAAAACAAAACCAATGCGAATGTGTAGATGTAGATGTGGGAGTAGGTGTAGATGTAGATGTAGGTGTGGGTGTAGATGTAGATGTAGATGTAGATGTAGATGTGAGTCTCGCCGTTGATGTTGATGTGGCTGTAGATGCAGGTGTAGATGTTGATGTAGCTGTCGGTTTAGATATAGATGTTGCTTTCCTAGATGCTCCAACTCCTAGGTAGGGTCGCACTGGGATATATATTTTTTCTTTTGAGACTGTCCCCCCTGTACTCGGGTCCATTTGGACACACCCCTCACACGCTTCGTGGCTCCATAGGTAGCTCCACCGAACAATTCTCCAGTGGCAGGGTCCGCATACGTACTCGGGTCCATGTGGGCACACCCCTCACACGCATCGTGGCCCCATAGGGAGCTCCACCGAAGTCTCCAGTGGCAGGTTCCGCATGCGTACTCGGGTCCACTTCGGCGCGCCCCTCGCACCCAAACGAGCTCTTGTACATCGAGCGGTCCTGTTGATAATTTCCACGCACGTAGGAGGGGCCGGGTTCTTCGCCAGGGTAACTTTCTTGGAGGATATCCCCCTGGCATCCCTGAGGTTCAATTAGCTGCAGGGTTTGCTGCAGGGTCCAGGAGCCGATGCTGGATGCTGTCTTCGCATGGGGGGGTCTGAGACATCTCAGATGAAGGGGCCCAGGGACACACAAATAAATACACACAAATCCCAGGATCCCCCATATTTCCCCATATTTTATGGGTTTTCGTCTTCCCCCCCACTTCCCATATTTTCTTATATTTTCTGGGAATCGACGATGAATTGTGTCTGTGTGTCTTTTTTCCCCTCCTGACCAGAGAGGTTCTGTGAAAGATCTCGAGGTCTTGGGGCTGTCTTGGGGGCCACCGAGGACTCTACTCGGCCGCCGGGGGGGAGCGAGATGCTGGTTCCCGCAGTGGTTTCTTCCCTCCACCGCGAAGCAAGCCCCAAGCCCCAGGAGCCAGACGCTGAGAGGCCCCACCGGCCAGAACCGCACCTCCTCTCCATGGGGCTATGGCTTCGGAGAGGTGAGACAATGACAGCGGACTGGATGGACAGCAGCAGCACCCAGCAGGGAGAAAGGAAGCAGGCGGGCGGCCGGGAGGAGAGAGGAAGAGGCGAGAGCAGCACGGAGAGAGGCAGGAGAGCGAGCGAGCGAGGAGGCAGCAGAGCAGGTCCCCCCCCCTGTCGCCACCAATCGGCCGTAGAGGGGGGGGCGACCGAAGTGGCCGCACTTCCCCCCTGTCACCCCTGGCAGGCGGAGTGGAAGCCCCAGAGCGGCCAGAGCCTCGACGAGGGAAGGAGGAAGAGATCAGAGCAGAAGGTTCCCCCTGCCACCCCTATAATCGGCCGTAGGGGGGGAGGTCTCGAGGGCGACGCTGGGCCATCTCGGAGTAGTCCTGGGATCGCTCTTGGGAGCTCTGTGGGAGTCCCTTCCTAGGACCGCTCTTGTGAGCTCCGTGGGAACTGTCGGAGTCTCTTGGCAAGCGTCGGAGTCTTGCGAGCGACTCTGGGGCATCTCGAAATTGGGAGCTCTGTGGGAACTATCGGAGTCTCTTGGGGGCTCTGGAGCATCTCGGAGTGGTCTGGGGCCTGCCTTGGGGACATTTGGGGTTCGAGAGCTCGCGAAAGGATGCAGTGGCTCGAAGCACTCTCCTTGGGAGCTCCCCGGAAACCATCGGAATCTCTTGGGAGGCTTTGGGCACGTGGGAGTGGTCCTCGAAGGTTCTTGGAAATTGGGGGCTGCAGGAAGGGCGTCGTCTGGGCTCCCTTCGGCCCCTCTTCGAGCCCTCGCAGAGGTCTCCCCGGAGCCTCTAGGGGCTCGATTGGCCCATTTCGAAGCTTCCTTGGGCCGTCTCGGGGGCCTCTTGAGCCGTCCTGGGGCCAGGTCTCGGGCCGTCTTGGAGATCGCGTTGGTGCCTGGTGGGCAGCTCCCAGGGCCCTCTTGGGGCTGGCTTTGAGGGCCGTGATGGGCTCTATGTGGCCGTCTTGGGCTTCTCCTGGGCAGTCTTCGGGCCCTGCGGGGCCGTCAAGAGGCACATGGCGGGGCCTCCTGGACCGTCTTGGGGCGATCTGGGAAGGCCCTGGAGCCGTCTGGGGCCGTTCTTGACCTGGCAAGAATATGGGAAACCTTCAAGAACCATGGATAATTAGCCTGTGATTTTGGGCTCGGGGGACCGTCATCGGGGACTGGTCAGCCGTTTTCCGAGGCACCTGGGACTCTCATGGGGCTCCGTTCGGGTTCTCTTGGCTCTTGGGCCGTCCTCGCGCGCTCGGAGTCTCAGAGCTGTCTTGGGGCTGTCAGAGGCCGTCTTGGGGCAAGCGATGGGCTCTCTGGAGCCGTCGGAGAGCGCCGGGGCGCTTCGGGCGCTCGGAGGCAGCTGGCGCACTGCTGGCGCATCTCGCACACGCACCGCCCAGAGCTGTAATACAGAGATGACGGTGGGTTCCAGCTTCGCCTGCAGCATTTCGCTGAGCAGCCACAGCGCCCGCTGCCACTGCTCGCCCTTCCCGCACGCACTCATCACAGCGTTGTAGCTGACTAGGGCTGACCCGTGGACTACGTCCACTTGCGGGGTGAAGGGGTGCTGCAGCAAGGCGAGCAGGATGAATGGCATCATGTTTGCCTGCCACATATCGCTGAGCTGCGGGGGCGCCAGGTAGCGCTGCGCGCCCGTCTGGGAGCCCCCAACGAGCCCCCAACGACACCGACGACGGCGGCGGCGGCGGCGGCGGCGGCGACGACGACGACGACGACGACGACGACGACGACGACGACGACGGCGACGACGGCGGCGGCGGCGGCGGCTGCGGCGGACGGGCTGCAAGGCTAGGCTGGCCCGAATCAGGGCCACCGGCCCGCTGGCCCAGAGTCGGCGGTGCCGATTCTGGGCGCCCCCCGGCCCGCCGTCCCAGAATCTTGCCCCTCGCCTGCAGGGCGACGCGCGCCTCTGGTTTTGGGCCCCCGACCCGCCGGCTCGGGCCACTGTGGAAGGTCCCTGACGCCGTCTTGGGCGGGCGTGGACCCGAACAGGCGATCAACCTCAAGTCCTTCAAACACCCGATGAAAATCGTTGAGCTTCGCCTCTTGAGGCTCTCTCAGGAGCCCTCTGGAACCGCTCTTGGGGTGCCTTTGGGGCTTTTCCGGCCTGCTCGAGGCCATCTTGGACAATCTTGGAGCCCTATTGGGTCATTTGGGGGGGGGGGCCTCCCTGGGCGTGTACTCGGACCCTCCTGGGACTTTCTGGGGCCTCTTGGTGCATCGGACCGCCGAAACGGCGGGAAACGCAAAGGGTTTAACAGTAAACAATGGAACTTGAACGGTTTTTGCCAGCTGGGGCTCTCTTGCCATCTTGGCCCGTCTTGAGGCTTCGACCGCGCGCGTCCTTGGGCCGTACTGGGCGCACCCTCCTGGGACCGTCTTGGAATCGTCTTGGGCCGTCTTGAGCGCGCCTTGGGCCGTCCTGGGCCCGTCTGGGGCCGTGTTGGCACCCTCGCGACGTGGAAGCTCGGAGGCGGGCTCGAGGATTCTTTGGGGCCATTCTGGAGGCTGTTGGGGCCTCTGTTGGGGCCTCGTTTGGGCTCCTGGGGAGCCTCCTGGGGCCTCTTTGGGGGATTCTTGGCGGCCCCTTGGGGCCCCTCCTGGCGCCCTCTCGGGGCGGAATGCTCGGATTTTCGGTGCGTGATCCCCCTCTTGGCCCCCTCTTGGGCCTGTCTTCGGGCCCTCGTGGGCCGTCTTGAGCGTTTCTTAGGTCGTTTTGGGGCCCTCTTGGGCTGTTTTGGGGCGCTCTTGGAAACCTCTTGGGCCGTTCTGGGGCGCTCTTGGAGGCCTCTTGGGCGGTCTTCGAGCGTCGGAAAGCGGAAAAGGCGAGGAGGCCACAGTCCTTCCAAAACCGTCGTGAAGCGGATGATTGTGACGCCCAGAACCGTCCAAAACCTCCTGAGGCGGTCCCCTAGTCCGCCCCCCTCGCTTCGAAGCAGTGTTGAAGCCCCGTGGCACCTCTTGGGAACCTCTTTTGGGCTCCTGGGGGCCTCTTGGGCCTCTCTGAGCTCGTCTATCGCGCCCCTTGGGCTGTCTTGGGGCTCCCTAGGGCCTTCTTGGGCGGTCCTTGGGCCGTCTTGGAGCCATCTTGGGCCGCTCTTCGGCCCATCTTGGGGTCCCGTTGGCCTGTCTATCCTGGGGCCGCCTTGGACCGTCTTGGGGCCCTCTTGGACCGTTTTGGGGTCCTCTTGGGGACCTCTTGGACCGTTTTGGAGCGGTCTTGGATGCCTCTGGGGGGGTTCGGAGCGTCGGGAAGCCGGAAACGCGCGGAAGCGAAAAACCTCGGAAGAACCAATGAACATAAACGATTTTGACCTCTCGGAGCTCTCTCGGGAGGCCTCTTGGGAGGCCTATTGGGCCGTTCCTGAGGCGGTCCCCTCGTCCGCCCCCCTCTCTTCGAAGCAGTTTTGAAGCCCCGTGGCACCTCTTGGGGACCTCTTTTGGGCTCCTGGGGGCCTCTTGGGCCTCTCTGGGCTCGTCTATCGCGCCCCTTGGGCTGTCTTGGGGCCCCCTAGGGCCTTCTTGGGCGGTCCTCGGGCTGTCTTGGAGCCATCTTGGGCCGCTCTTCGGGCCAACTTGGGGTCCCGTTGGCCTGTCTTGGGCGCCTCTGGGGCCGTCTTGGGGCCCTCTTGGACCGTCTTGGGGCCCTCTTGGACCGTCTTGGGGTCCTCTTGGGGACCTCGTGGACCGTCTCGATGCGGTCTTGGACCGCTTGGAGCGGTCTTGGATGCCTCGGAGCGTCGGGAAGCCGAAAAAGCGAGGAAGCAAAAAAACTTTGAAAAAAACAAATGAAAATCAACGATTTTGGCCTCTCGGGGCTCTCGTGGGAGGCCTCTTGGGAGGCCTGTTGGGCCGTCTTGGGGAGCTCTTGGGCCGTCTTGGGCCAATCTCGGGCGTCTTGGCCGGATCGTTGCGCGTCTCAGGGCCCTCTTGGGCCACCTTCGGGGCATCTTGAGCGGGTCGAAGCCGTCTTTGAGCGGCTCGGAGCCGTCTTTGGGCCGTCGGGGCGGCCTCTGGAGCGTCTCGGAGCCGTTTCCGGCCATTTGATGTTTTTTCCTTCCGGCACGCGGTTCCTCCGGCCATATAGTATAGACTAGGGCTGATCCGTGGACTACGTCCACATGCGAGGGAAACAGGTGGCGCCGCCAGGCGCATTCGATAAGGTTGGGCCCAATGTTCGCTTTCCACATCTCGCTGATAAGCGCGAACGCCGTGTCCAAGAAACGCTGGGTCGACGCCCGCCGCTGCTCGGAGGACGAGATCGAGCGCGGGGGCGGCACGTTGAAGCATGCCCGCGACCAGGGTGTCGAGACCTCAGCGCCCGCCCCCCTGGGACACGGATGTAATTCTGTTCAGTATCGTCATGACGACGTTGCTCAGAGACGCGCACGTAGACTTGCGGAGGAAGCTCGGCGACGTACCGCAGGAAAGATTCGTCGGGGAGCTCGTGTACGCGGACGACACGCTGCTCATCGACAGCGACCCTGGCCTGATCCAGGAGCTCGTGCGCAGCGTGGAAGCATGTGGTATGCAGTACGGTTTACAGCTGAATTGGAAGAAAGTTGAATTGATGGGCGTGCGGTCAGATGCCCCTATTATCACTAATTCCGGTGAGAACGTAGAGAACCAGTCGTCTCTGGTATGTTTGGGCGCTTCGCCTTCGGAAGACGGAAGGAGCGGTACCGAGCTGAACAGGAGGCTTGGGGTTGCGACGGGTGATTATAAGGCGTTGCACACAGTTTGATCCCATTCAGATCTCTCCAGGAAGCAGACAATACGAATCTTCAACGCTTGTGTGGTGTCCAAGCTCACATACGTATTTGTTGCAGCTTGTTTGAACAAAGCGGCGAGGCGACGCATAGACAGCTTTCAGAACCGATGCCTCCGCAAAATATGCCGGGTGCCACCTACATACATCAGCCGCGTCTCTAATGTCACTGTGCTTCAGATGGCTGGAGAAGAGAAGCTCAGCGTGCGCCTTGCCAGGAGACAGATGCTGTTCATGGCTCAGCTGGCCCGGGGACCCGGATCGGACCCGATTCGCTGCTCGGTGTTTGAAACGGGAAATTTGGAGCTTCGCAAACCAGCTGGCCGGAGACAACGAGGACGTCCAAGGGAGACATGGGGGCACCTTGTCTTACGAAACTGTCTGAAGTTGCGGGTTCCCGCGGTCGCCCGGCTGAGTACTTCCGCCCTGAGGGCGGTGCAGTGCGCGACTGGGAGCTGGCAGTAACCGCTTGGAGCGCTTGCTGAAGGCAACTGGCCACGGCCTTTTCTTCTCTGTTCCCTGCTTACGCGCCGTCAAGGCGTGCTCACTCACTCACTCACGCGGTAGGGGAAGGCCGCAGCGCCCGAGCTCGGGGTCGCGGGCAAAATTAAACCCGCCACCCTTGCGTTCAACGTCGTCCTCGCCTCACCGAGCTAGGCAGTCCTGGAGGCTGGGCGGGACCGTCCTGGCTCGTTGCCTCATGTTTCTTGTCCCTCGCTCTGTGGTTTTCTGGAGAAACAATATAGTCGTCTTGGGGTCCATGTTGGGAGGAGGAGAACGAGGATGAGGACGAGGAAGGGGAGGGGGAGGAGGAGGAGGAGGAGGAGGAGGAGGAGGAGGAGGAGGAGGAGGAGGAGGAGGAGGAGGAGGAGAAAGAGACGAGAGAGAGAGAGAGAAGTGGGAGGAGAGAGAGAGAGAGAGAAGGGGGAGGAGAAAGAGAGAGGAGGAGGAGGAGGAGGAGGCGGAGGAGGAGGAGGAGGAGGAGGAGGAGGAGGAGGAGGAGAAGGACGAGGAGGAGAAGGAGGAGGAAGGACAGAGACGAGAGAGAGAGAGAGAAGGGGGATAGAGAGAGAGAGAAGGGGGAGAGAGAGAGAAGGAGGAGGAGGAGGAGGAGGAGGAGGAGGAGGAGGAGGAGGAGGAGGAGGAGGAGGAGGAGGAGGAGGACGACGAGGAGGAGGAGGATTAGGAGGAGGAGGAGGAGGAGGAGGAGGAGGAGGAGGAGGAGGGCGCTGGCTGTCCAGGCTCCCTTAGGGGCCATCCTGGGGCTCTCCTGGGGCCTCTTAGGGGGCCTCCTGGGAGCCCTCGGGAGCCTGTTGGGGGTCACGGGCCCCTCTTGGTCCAAGTCGGGCCTGAGGCGCCAGACCCTGGAGGATTCCTTATCCAATAAGGGCGGCGATGATATCCATGGCCGATCCACGACTGGAGTTCCACTGGCTTCCAGACCCTGGATTCCTTACCCAGTGGTTCCTCATCCAATGCCCTCACCGTAGTCAACAATAGTCGGGGGACGTTTTTTATACTATTTTGGAACACGTTGGACTATTTTTGACATATTTTTAATGTTTCGCCCAAAATCCCTCTGTAGGGGGACACGCCCGAGCTAACTCTTGGTCGCTCTGGAGGCCTCGTTGGGGCCCTCTCGGGGCCGCCTGCGCGACATCTTGGAACCTCCCTGGGGCTCTCCGGAGCCATCTCGGCGGCATCTCGGGTCGTCGTGGGAGCTTCTTGGGCTTTTGGG